AAGCCTATTAACCTCTATCTTTAATCATCATCATTGAAATATTCTTCAACTAGTTCAACTTGTGAATGTTCTTCAGCTCTTTGCCTCTGCCGAATTAAATTTAATAACTCAAATTTAACACTTCCACATGCAGGTGGTGGAGCAGCAACAGCTACTGGAATTTCTTTTTTACATGCGTTATATTTTAGTGTAGGAGAAAACTGTATATCGCACAAATTTTAATTTATCAATAAATATTGCAATATTGCGCGTTCAAATAAATATTAACATGTATTCTTACTTACATTTATATTAAATTATACTACAATAAAAATAGGAATAATTTACTACGTATGCGTCTTTCACTATTTTAGTCTTGAAATTAATTCATATTCAAATGCTTACTCAAATGCTTCGCAAATATTCTTCGCAGATATTAATATAATATCTGCGCGATAAGAAACTTCCGTGATTATACAGGGTGATCCAGGTCACCCGGAGGAGCCGGCATCTACGTATTCCTTATGAGAAACTGAGACGAAAATGTTAATAGCAAAATGTTGAAGTGTCAATGGTTTTTGAATAGTGAACTGTTGAAACTGTCCAACCATAAGGCATTAAGAACGCGCCGTCAAGTGCGGCGCATTAAATTGACGATCGGCCCGCGCGAGGATACGGTAATATTTATTTTGTTTATTAATTTATTTGTTTCTAAATTAAATTAATTAATTAATTTAATCATTTTTAAATACATAAAATGTATTTTAAGAGTTCATACTTATTCAACTGATATAAATGATGTTGAATTTGCGATTGACTTTTCTACTGTGGCGGTACAATTACGGCACGCGCGTCTGGTCGCGCGCCGGGCCCGCGCGCCCGCCACGTGACGAGAGTAGTACGCGGCGCCACCGCTAGGTGCCGCAGGCGCCACTGCAATTCTCGTAATTAAGAATCGCCCACGCCTGCTATATCTATGACTCCGTGGGAAGTCCTCAGCCTGTTCCTCGCTTCAGGATAACGCGAGCTTACCTCGTAGGCCGTTATCCTGAAGCATTTTGAGTATACCTTACGTACGGAGAGCGCTCTACGGGCTTCAGACGT